CATAGTTTCACTTTTAGTCACTGACAAACTCTGACGACATTAATCCAACCTTCCCTAACACTCGAGTACTGGGCGTAGGCGTGCACTGCGTGCGCTATTGAGCTCGAGTTGAAGTGAAAAACTGTCATGATTAGTGGGATGAGTAAGCAAGGATAAGAAAGGCCATTTACCGCACGTGAACACAGCAGCGAATTTTGCACACTGTTTTGTTTGAAGACCTGCAGCGGCACCGAAAAACCTCACAGAAATTATCCTTTTTTTTTCTTTTTTAATGAACAGAATTCGCGAGAAGTATTTATCACCTCACCTTGATCTTTCTAGAAAACAAAAATAGGAAACGTTAAATGCGAAAGAACGAGAACGACATTCTAATATTGGTGGTTTTAATCGGCGTGCGCAAATTCCGCACGCGTTCCTGGAATATCTTTTTCGCTGTTTTTACCACGCCGGTCAGATCTCTTGGGATAAGGCTAGACATATCTTAGCGCAAAGTTTTGATTCAGTCCACGCTGCTTCTCTGCTTTCTGTGTGCCTAGCATGAAAGCTATATGAAGCCGTGAATTTAATTGAACTGGGCGTAACTCAATTCAGTCTCAACATTGTTGCGGAATACAAAAAAAAAAGTTCTACAGACAGCTTTCAAAAAAGCTCGCCTGCAAACCTCTACCTCCCCGCCGCGGTGGTCTAGTGGCTAAGGTACTGGGCTGCTGACCCACAGGTCGCGGGATCGAATCCCGGCTGCGGCGGCTGCATTTTCGATGGAGGCGAAAATGCTGTAGGCCCGTGTGCTCAGATTTGGGAGCACGTTAAAAAACCTCAGGTGGTCGAAATTTCCGGAGCCCTCCACTACGGCGTCTCTCATAATCATATGGTGATTTTGGAACGTTAAACCCCACATATCAATCACCCCCCCCCCCCTCTACCACCGTCCACATAGACCACGACAGCGTTGTGTTTCTTCTACATTGCGTCAGCTTGCGCACTGTAAGTTGCGCACAAAAATGTTTTATCAACTCGCCTAACTCTATAGCACTGCCATGGCAGTATCGATGACGTATTTTGATAAAGGTTCAAGCGTTCGTTTCACTTGCTTGTGCTGCAAGTGCTGAATCTTGATTCGTTTAGGGCAGCGTTTCACTTTAATATGCAATATGTCTCTTAACTGTGCATCACGCACAGTTACGGACAAAACTAGACATTATCAAGTTTTTCGTGTCTCTGTTTCCCTTGTGTTTGGCAATGCCCAACCTGTGATCCAACCTGTGATCCATGCAAAACTGTGGTGCATGCATGTAAATCATGCAAAAACTTGTGATCTCGAAAAAAATGTAAAGAACACTTTCACATCGTTACTTTTATTGATTTTAATTTGTGAAGTCTTATGTGCCAAAAGCGCGATACGACTATGACGCACACAATAGTGGAGGGCGTCGAAAATTCAGGCCATCTGGCGTTCTTCAACCCTTCCAGAAAAAAGTGATTCCAATTGGAATCAACTTTGTTGGTCAGTCCGCAACCATCTGGCTAAACGAAAGCTTTGTCCTGTCTCAAGAACTACTATTTATCATTTGCCCTGTGTATGTCGCCATGCTGGTAGTCTTCACAATAATGTGAAGTCACTTGTGAAAGAAGAAATCACCGAATGGGTCACGCTGCTCTCCACACTTGATTTGATTCCTCTATAATATGGCACATGCCCACTCTGGGGGATTGGCCAAAAAGGTATAGTATAATTTTTTGTTGAAGCTGCTGCCTCTTTCACCGTACAGGTATAAGTGATTTATTTTATTTCTGTATCGAAAACTTGAATTCTGGCTGTTGGGCATCACTGCATTCTATCTAAATATTTAATAATAAATAAAATAATACTATTAATATTCAAAGTAATGTTGAAGAATAGTTAAGTATGAAATTATTTGGTTATAAACTGCTTCTTAGCAAGCGTGAGCACTTTTTTTGGGGGGGGGGGGGGAGGGTAAAGTAAGAGGACAACCATGGTCATTCGCATCTAGAAATGTAAAAACGAGTTGCTAGCATTGACCATAGTATATTAGGGAATAAAGGGCTGACGTGCGGTTGCATAGAAGAGTGCACGGGCCTGTAGCATTTCCTCTACCGAAAGGCGGCCCACGCGGCCGAACTCGAACCTGCGACTTTCAGACCAGCAGCCGGGTACCCTAACCACTGCGCCACCTCGGAGGACTCATCATTACTTCTGTTGAATACTTAAGTGATCTGTGAATTTCTGTCTCATTTTCGCTCTACCATAGAGTAACGTAAAAATTACAAGAGTGGTCACTCGTGCCAAAAAGCGGCTGAGCTACGCAGCTTCACCACAGCCGTAAGATGGCAGCACATCACTTAATGCTTCAAGGAAACACGTGTGCTAGTTATTAAATGCGAAGCATTTCTTAGCAAACTTCGGCGACTTTGAGCGTATCTATCTATCTATCTATCTATCTATCTATCTATCTATCTATCTAGCCGCCTACGACTTTTAGCTCTCCCGGCCGTTTCAATAATCGCACCGATACCAAACTTGGTATGGCATAGCATGACTGTATGAAGAAAATATTCGACTAGTCATAACATAAAAATCATGACATTAATGTCATAATTGTCATGATTTCCATTTCATGGTTCTGCAGCTCTTGTGGTGGTTTCGTTCACATGGCATGTTGCAAAACCGGTAGGGTATGGCATGATTGCATGGCAAACACAAGCGACAGACCCTAACATGAAAATCATCACATGCGTGTCATGTAACATGACTACGTTCGACACTCATGATGCGCTCGCGGCCGTTTCGCTAGAGTAAAGGCAGGAACACACTAGCGGCGCCACGCTCTGCCGCGCGCCGCTCGCGAGACGCCGCTTTTCTCTCTTTCTCCCGCCGAGCGTCGAGGAATTTCTGCCGCCGACTCAATCGCTCCTTGTGCTATTTCTGCCGCTGCCGCCCTAGCAAAGCGCCAATCAGCGACGTGCGTGGTAGTCGCCATAGCAACGCACGGAGCTTGTTTTCTTTTTTTTTCCGGTTGTCATTTTTCTCACGCCATCGTTTTTTGAAGCACGCACCATGGACACCGAACGCTTTTTAGAGGAGATTAGACTCTACCCCTTCTTATACGACAAAACGATGCCTGATTACAAAGATAAGGAAGCAAAAATGAACAGATGGGATCTTATAGGATCTATGTTTGGATTGACAGGTAAGTGGCGATTGCGTGGCTCATTGCATGTTGAGCGCGAATGAATTGTATGTTTTATTCACTCACTTGTGCAGGAATACAGGCCATGCTGAAGTTTAAAAATATTAGAGATAGGTGGATGAAGCTCGTGTCGGGAGTCGAGGTGAACACTCGGAGCGGTGCGCCAGGCAATAATGGCAAAATTAAGTGGCCCCTGTTCTCAATTATTGACAGCATGCTGAGGCAGACACCTCACTATGCGGAAAAGTAAGTGATCAATGACGTGCCGTTTCATATTGCAGCGCACGCAGGATACCTGTTTCATGCCTTCAGTATCTGTACCTCCAAAGCGGATGGACCCAATATCTTCGCGGCGCATTTCGAGAGCGGCGACGCTGAAGCAACAGCAGACACGCCATCACGGTAACGTTGAGCGTTGCGAGGAGATCGTCGTCGCCTGCCATTGTTCGCACGATTGCACCGTAAAGTCGGAGAGCTCAGAACCAACGCTTCCTAGTACAAGAGGCGTTGTCAGAACAGACGACGCAAAAGCGCGAGAAATCTCGCGAGCTGAGAGACCGCTCGAGACTGCTGTCACGTGACTCCCGCAGATGTGGCCAGCGTGCCGCTTTTCACCGCTCGGCGGCGAAGACGCGCGTCATGCCGCGGCGGCACGCTTCCCGCAAGTGTGCTCGTACCTTAACATATACCAAATTTGGTATTACGGTACGTGAATTGATGAAGAAGGTATGTGACTGGTGCAAACATGATAGTCATGAGATGCGCGTCATGTAATAACATGACTACATGCCACGCTCATGATGCGCTGGCAGCCGTTTCGCTAGCTTCACTTATACCAAATTTGGTATTACGGGACGTGAATGGATGACGAAGGTAAACGACACATCCGAACATGATAATCATGACACGGAAGTCATGTACGGCATCATTTACCTCCACCTCGTAACGTTGTACTGATTTGAAGACGACATATCAACATTTCTCATCAGTGCTTCGCATATCATCGATTCCCACTGCACGTGGGACCTGCCAATTTTCTGCAGCGACAACTGCTTGTGGCTCTTTTTTGCGAAAGAGCGGTGTAAAGTGCGCTGGAGAAAATTAGTGCGAAGGTGGGAAGGAAAACGTAGCCAACATTTTTCTTTTATTTTTTCGGTTCATGCCGGAGTCAAGCGATGAGGCAACTACCGCCGTGTCGCGTTGTGCACTGCATGTGTAGTTGTGTGCGTTATTTACAGTTTTATTCTGCAGCCGTTCTTGTTATATTGTTGCCGATATGTTTATTTCTTGTTTAATTTATAATCATGATATAGTAGCTGTATTTTCGCATCTTGCAGTGCAATGAATCCTTCTTTGTGCCTGCGTTTATCAAACATTAAACAATGTGGACATGTACTTACCAAGAATACTACTTGAAAATAAATGTTTTCGATCCTCCGATGATTCTCATGTTTTAATTTAAATTGTGTGCGTAGACACACATTGGCATCGTGTGCTTGCCACTCGAGCGGTGCAGCTTACACGAAGCTGATCGATGCATGCAAACGACGCGCTAAAATTAAATTAAAAAATTAATGTATGGCCTCAGAGATGAACACACACGTAGAAGTGGTCTCGGAGGCTGTATAATGATTCTAGTCAGTACAAAATTGCCTTCGAGACAGTATTTTCTGCGATCTGCCATATCTGAGGCTGCAAAGTTTCACCACACCCGTTTGGTGCGCTGCGAACCCAAATTGTTTAAAATCAGCCGCAGGGGCCTATGGAAGTGTCCTCTCTTGGTCTTTTATATTACTCTATGGCTCCACTTTCTTCATGATGTTTCTCCATGTGACACAGCTTGCTAACTACCAGCTGCGTCACATATGAATTTATTTCAGCTCTGTATGCCGAATCGTAAGCGAAGTGCGGCTGCGGCGCAGTTAAAGACTTCAGGATGTCACGAACGACGCCCAGAAACTCCTTCAGCTCGCACGGGTTCTTCAGTTTATCGGTGTCTACCAAGTGCGGGTCCTTGTCCGTCTCCGTGGAGAGGAGAACCTGAACGCGCTTCGCTTTCGAGGCGTCCTCGAACACCTCGAAGAAGACGCTGGCACAGAAGCAAGGATGGTCGCCGTACGACGTGTCGAGCAGCTTCAGTATCGAGTACACGCTCGAGTCGGACATCGAGAAGACGTGCAACCTGTCGGGACGCTCGACTCCCTGCTCGAACTTCTGCGAGAGGGTCTCCACGACTTCTCGGAGCGCGTTCTCGGCGTAGCTGGTGATGTTGAGGGGACGCAGAAAGAAGAGGAAAGGTTAAAGAAAGTTTTTTTTTAAGGCAACACTAAAGCGAAAAACAGAACCTTCGAAACCGGAGGTGACTCTCATCCTTTTAGGTGTGAAATTGGGCCAGATAGTAATCGATCTTCAACAAACCACGCAGAAGCAGACAATGGACAAAGTGATACGCGAACACAGGCTCTGACTTTTGAAGGCAGCGCCTGCATCAAATTCACGACCTTCGGGTGTCATGGGCTATGTTTTTGTATTGTTGTCGAACACCTCATAACGAATCAGCATGAGGATGAAAAACAATTAGTCATATTCGATATTCGGAACCGACTCTAACAAATCGACGATACGGATCACGCACGAATTTTATACACAAAAATGGATTATCCTAGGCTTCAAAGCCACAAGATACAAGGCCGTCATTATCTCTTTGCTTGTGGCATTTCAAACTAAAAATACTGGTATATTAGAAGGTGCAACCAGAAGAAAAAGTTTGTTCGGCAAAGGAGGCTTGCGGTCACATTCATTTGAAAAAGAACGTCATCATTTTTTCATCATAGCATTGTCACAAACAAATTTTTACAAATGGTAAACATTATTATGACGCCATCAATATCGATTATTAATATGACAATGGTGTAATAGTAACATGAAATTACAGCAAGAAAATGTGGCTGTGAATTCTCTTATAATAGTTATTCCACTTTTTGTGCTACCTTGCGCGAATGGAGCTTCGCACGAACCAAATATCCTTCGTTGTGGTCGATATCTCGGCAGCTCTAGCATCTTCAGTTTCGTTCTATAAAAAATAAATGCCGTTGAAATTAATCGTGACCAACAAAAAAAGTTCGTGGTTAGTTCGCTATCACCGATAATTCGACATATCGGCGTTCGTTACAACGAGATCCCCCTGCACCGATGCGCTGTTATGTCCATTGACCCCAGACGGTACCACCGTGTTTAAACGTTTACCTGCACATCTCGGATACTGCTCAACCTTTTTCACTGTGTTTATTGCCAATTTATGGACGTCAGTGGCAGTCCTCTGGCCCAAGTAGGCTTTTCCGAAAGCCTGTCGGCATAAACTCCGGCAGTTTTTTCAACTCATAGGTAACTGTTTTTGATGTCTTCTATGTGCGTGAGACTTACCCATAATAAAATGGAGTATAACACTTGTCACTGCAAATCGGTTGTGCTAAAACCTGAGTGCTGCATACTGGACACAGAATACTGCAAATCGGTTTCACAGAGCCAATCTGCAGTATTTCGAGTCTATGCTCTACGAGTTGTCTACTCATTCGCCCTAGCGCTGCCAACTGCTAGCTTCCTGGTCTCTTCAAGTGGTGGAGTGGCCAGCCCGGAAAAGCGTCGGTCCCACGGGTTCGATCCCCGAACCAGGACGAATTTCACGGTCACTAAGAAGCTTTGTTACCGAGAAATCTGTGTAGATTTCCTTGTGGCTCCATGCTGCCAACTGGTGCTTGTCAATCATTTTCCTCCCTTTTTTTTTTTTTTTGATACTTAGCCCTCCGAATCATCCACTCATATTTTTTGTTTCTCTAGATAACATGCAAACTTTCAGTTTCATTTCAATGACAACAAAGTCCCATTCTGGGGTTTTACTTGCCAAAATCACGATATTATTATGAAACTTGCCGTATAAGCTAGGGGACTCTGAATTTATTTTAACCACCCGGTTCTTTAACGTGCTCGCAAATCTGAATACACTCTTCACGGATTAAAAGAGGATAATTCAGACCTGAGTAACGCGCACTTTCATTCCTGCCGTCTCCAGTTCGGGCCATGATATCAACATAATCGCGACTCGAACACTTCGATAAGAGCCGACATTAAATATCTCTAGAGACCAGATTCGTCACGACAAGATGTGGTTATCTCGAGCGATTGATGATTGATGCGTGGGATTCAACGCCCCAAAACCACCATATGATTATGAGAGACGCCGTGTGGCAGGCTCGAGAAATTTTGACTACCTGGCGTTCTTTAACGTGCACCCAAATCTGAGCACACGGGCCTACAACATTTTCGCCTCCATCAAAAATGCAGCCGCCGAAGCCGGGATTCGATCCCGCAACCTGATCTCGAGTGACTGCGCATACAAGTTGTTATAGCGAATAATTTGATATCGCATTTGAATCCGTGAGTACATAGGTATTTTCGCACCTCGCCCCTGTCGTAATGCAGCAGCTGTGGACTAGAACCGAAGCCGTGCCCTAGCTCTTATCAGCGCCACAGCTGAGCCGATGAGCAATGACTTGCTGTTTCGTTTCGAAATAGCAACAACCACACAGCGGCCTAGTTCGAGGACATTAGCAACAGGGTGTCTTAATGAGCGTACCGTAGCTCGTTGCCCGCAAGCGCCAGTCCGAACATCCTGTTATCTGCGTCGATTAGGACGTTCCAGATGGTCTGCGCCCAAGCGGGGATCGGGTTGCCGATAGCCACGTACGTCAGCAAGCTGTCCATTACCAAAAACTTCTGTCGCTTCTCACGCGTGGGCGCTCCGGTCTTCTCCGCGATGAAAGCCAGAAGATCTCCGATGCACGAGAAGTCACCCTGAGCGGGAGGCGCGACAGGCGCCTGCAGGATCAAGTCGATATTCTCGATAAGGCTCGCCTGGAACAGCAGGTCGTAGCGCGTCGGGTCGAGCTCGAGCGGCGTCGACGTGGGAAAGTTGAGCCCTCGTACGGTCTCGCTCAAGCTCTCCCGACACCGCGGCAGGCGTACGTGCGTGGCCAGCAGCTGGTCTGGCTCGTCGGCCACCAGGAATCCGTCGTACCGGAGCCTCAAGAAGAAACCCAGCTTGAAGGTCTGCTCGTGGCCCTGCCTGGTGAGCTGGCCGTGGTCTTCGGGAACGTTTTTGGGCAGATTCTTGCAGCACATGATGGGAGTCCGCTGACCGTGGCGGCTCATGACGAAGGCGTACAGCAGGTTGTCGGGAGCTGGCACACCTTTCGATGCGGCGGAACTGGCAGCCTGCATCACAGTCTTCAGCGATCTCGGCACGGCAACACGAAATTACTTTAGCCTTCCTAGAGTAGAGTAGAGTAGAGTAGAGTAGAACAGACCCTAGAAACTGTGGCTCACACACGCACGGGGGGGAACCTTCGTCTTCTCCCAGCTTTCCTTGTCGGTGCTCGAGATGATGAGGATGATGACGAGCCTAAAGCCACGTTCATAGGTTTACCTGGAAGTAGATGCAGGTATAGTTACAGATATTCAAGTGTTCTGGCTCACGCCCACTAAGGCCGACTGACCAAGCGGACAGTTCTAATGAAAATAAAGTAAAAACAAACATGCTTGTCTGTTATTGATCAAATAATATTTGAACAGCAAAGCTTTTTAAGCTGTCCTTAACTTGCACTTCATCCTAAAAGACATTGTAAAAGAAATTGGGCAATCCCCATTACTGTGTATTGCAGGTGCGATGATGATGATGAAAAACATTTATTATAAAAGAGAGAGGTACGGGGCCAAAGCATGACCCCGCTACATGGTCGGCGTCCTTAGTCCGGGACACCGCATGACGAGGCCCCTACTCGCGCCCGTCTCACCAGAGCCCGTTGAGACTCGAGTGATGAGCAGTTGAGGAGGGCAGTCTCCCGTGCCTCTCGGGAAGGCGTAGGGGAAGGGGGTAGGTGGGGATTTTTCGGACATGCCCATACCATGTGGAAGATATCACACGTCTCCCCACAGTGTGGGCACCGCCCATCTGTGTTCGCATCGAAATGTTTTAGTATTGCAGGACAGAGTAGAGTACCTGTCTGCAGGCGCCTTAGAGTTCGCTCTTCCGCCTTACTCAACCCCTTTGCAGGAGCCGGGTAAAGGCGGTGAGTGTCGCGATAATAGGTCAGAATTTCTTTGAACCGCAGCAGCGGTGTATTGGCCTCCGAGTCATAAGAGCCAAGAAGAGGAGCCCGGTGGGTAAGCGCTCGGGCGGCCGCGTCAGCGGCCTCATTACCTCGTAAGCCCTGATGGCCAGGAGCCCATACGATGCGTTTCGGGGCTGGATCAGCGAGAGCCCGTTTTAGAATTTGGCTGGCTAGGGGGGATATCTCTCCTACCAAGTAATGAGCACATGCTTTCCGGGAGTCCGTGATGATAACTTTCGAGTTGGGGTCCGCAGCAGCAAGCGCTATCGCGACTTCCTCAGCGCGCTCTGGATTTTGTGCTCGGAACGAGAGCCCATTGACATGCTTTTCCCGGTGAACTACACAGACCGTGTAAAATCCCGCGGGCGAAGGCCCTGCTATATCTACGTAGAATACACCAGGTCGGGAGCCGTGTTGCCTCTCAAGCGTCCGAGCCCGCGCCTGTCTTCTGCTTTCGTGCGTGTGCTTACCCATGTTACTGGGGAGTTGAGAGACCGAGAGCATATGCCGCCACAGTTCCGGAATACGCTCCGCCTCCTCTGCAGTGCAAGTGTGCAAGTAAGCGGTTCAGCAGGCGGCGCCCGGGAGCCGTCTGCACGAGCCGCGTATATTGATTCATAAGGTGGGCCTCCCGCAACTCCTGGTAGGAGTTGAGCACACCTAACGCCCTCAGTTTTGGCGTTGGAAGTGGCCACCGGGAGATCCAGAGCTCGTTTAGTAGCCTTACGAATGATGGCATCTATTCTTTCGTCTTCTTGCTTGTTAGTGCGAAGGTATGGGACGGCGTAGAAGATCCGGCTAGTCACGAAGGCATGGGCGAGCCGAAGCGCGTCCCTGCCCCGCAGACCACCCCGCTTGTTGGAAACGCGGTGGATCATGCGCCCTACCTGTTCGCCTATTCTCTTGAGTTTCGCTATAGTGGAGTCCGGTCTGAGTCTGTGGTGAATGAACAGGCCCCAGAATCCGGAGCTCCTCCACCTCTCTGACGGGAACCCCAGACCTCTCTGATGGGAACCCCAGATGGGAACCCCAGACACGTCCCAAAACTACGATATGATTATGAGACGCCGTAGTGGAGGGCTACAGAAATTTCGACCATGGTGTGTTCTTTAAAGTGTACTGGCAGCGCACAGTACACGGGCTTCAACCATTCCGATAGATAGATAGATAGATAGATAGATAGATAGATAGATAGATAGATAGATAGATAGATAGATAGATAGATAGATAGATAGATAGATAGATAGATAGATAGATAGATAGATAGATAGATAGATAGATAGATAGATAGATAGATAGATAGATAGATAGATAGATAGATAGATAGATAGATAGATAGATAGATAGATAGATAGATAGATAGATAGATAGATAGATAGATAGATAGATAGATAGATAGATAGATAGATAGATAGATAGATAGATAGATAGATATATAGATAGATAGATAGATAGATAGATAGATAGATAGATAGATAGATAGATACGCTCAATGTGGCCGAAGTAGTAGTAGTAGTAGTACAAAACTTTATTATATACATAATCCAGACAGGCTTGAACTCCAGTGCCCCGAAGAATATACGGGGTGGAGAGCGAAGTCTGTCCGGCAGGGTGGTGCCCCTATTCCAGGGCCCCACTGGCGCGAGCCATCCGTTCAGCTCTTTGGATCAGTCGCAGCTGATCCACTAGGGCTGGGCTAGACAGCAGCGCCTCCCATTCCTCCCACGTGCCAGTGGTGTCGTGCTCTTCGTCGTGCTCTGCACACTCCCACGTGATGTGAAAGAGTGTTGGGGTGGCTCCACACCACGGGCACATATCTCTGTACGCCGTGGGGTAGATCAGGTGAAGAGTGTGCAGATTTATGTAAGTGTTAGTCTGTATTTTTCTTAGCGCTGTTGCCTCCGCAGCGCTGAGCTTGCTGTGAGGACGTGGATACAGCTGCCTATTTTCTCTATAGTACTGTAAAATTGTTGCGAAGCAAGGGTCCACGGGTGTAGGGTCATCACTTGCATTGGCTTGAGTGGCTCGGTGATTTGTGAAGCCTCGAGCCGCCTCATCCGCGCGCAGGTTCCCTGTCACGCCCTCGTGCCCCGGTGCCCAAGTCACAGCCTGTACGTATTTCACTGTGGGGTCCCATCCTGTCCCAACCAATATACGGAGCGCTCGTGCTCCAATTTTGCCCTTTAGATAGTTTCTGCAAGCTTTTTGCGAATCTGAAATGATTGTTAATGGAGCGTTTCTCGTCCATCCCTTTTTTATTGCGAGTGCTATGGCAACTTCTTCTGCTTGTGTTGTCGACGCCTGATCTATTGAAGCGCAGGCTGTAATTTTCCCTCTATGGTCGGTGGCTACACACACATATCTCTTTGCATTGGTCTGATAAGGCGCGGCGTCAGTGAATCTGGCCGTGTTCGAAAATCTTGTCTTTTTCTCTATGTAGTCAGCCCTTGCCTTTCTTCTTCCAGCATGCAGAGTAGGATCCATGTTGCTTGGTATTGGCAATACGGTGTACCATTTTCTGAATTCGCTTGGTACTTCTTTAGTTTCTTGGTGTGTTTGTAGTAAAGTATCGCGCCCTAGTTTTGTTAGGACTGCTCTGCCCGTTGGGGTCTGGAGAAGGCGATTTTCTTGCGCTAGTAACTGGGCCTCGGATAATTCTTCAATTGTGTTATGAAGACCAAGCGCCAGCAGCTTGTCGTTTGAAGTATTCCGCGGTAATCTCAGGGCTGTCTTGTAGGCCATTCTAATTATTTGGTTTGCTTTTTCTTTCTCTTCCCTGTTCATAATTTGATATGGAAGCGAGTATGTAATGCGACTGATGACGAGGCTTTTGACCAATTTTAGGGTATCTTGTTCTCTCATGCCTTTATGGTTGTTTGTTATTCGCGAGATCATGCGTGAGATCTGCTGTACTGATGTTTTGAGTTGATTTAGTGTGTGCAGACATCTCTGATTAGCTTGAAGCCACATTCCTAGTATGCGTACGGTATCTTTCTCCGGAATGACATTTCCGTCGAGCTTGACTTCCAGCTTTAGATTCGGGTCGATCCTCCGTGCTTTTCTCTTCGTGAAGCGAATGAGCTCTGACTTTTCGGCTGAGCACTGAAGACCCCGTATCCTTGCGTACTCTTCTATGGTGTTAGCTGCCTGTTGTAACCTATCTTCTTTCTCTGCTGGGCTGCCTGTGGTTGTCCATACCGTAATATCGTCTGCATATATCGCATGTTGTAGACCGGCAATATCTTTGAGTTTTCCTGCAAGGCCTGTCATGGCGACATTGAAAAGTGTCGGTGAAATGACCGCTCCTTGGGGTGTTCCTTTGTTTGGAGGTTTAATGATGTCGGATTCGTAATCTCCCAGCTTGATTGTTGCAGTCCTGTTACTAAGAAAACTTTTGACGTAGTCGAACATTCGTTCTCCACAGTTAGCTTCCTCCAGACCTTCTAGTATTGCTTTGTGACTGATGTTATCAAAGGCTCCCTTCATGTCAAGTGCCATAACGACGTTTTCCCCAACCTTAGAGATGTCCATTAATACTTGTTCTTTTAAAAGTAGTAGAACATCTTGCGTAGAAAGGTGTGAGCGAAAGCCAAACATAGTTTCGGGCATGAGGTTGTTCTTCTCGAGATGGTTGAGGAGCCTGGTGTTCACCAGTTTTTCAAATATTTTTCCTAAGCAGGACGTGAGCGAGATAGGTCTCATGTTCTCAATGGCAAGTTTTTTTCCTGGTTTAGGCACCATGACTACAATCGCATGTTTCCATTCTGGTGGGACAGTTCCAGCCAGCCAATGTTTGTTTATGTATTTAGTGAGAGCTTCAATGGCTTCGTCATTTAGGTTCCTGATCATACCATTGGTGATTTTATCTGCACCCGCGGCTGTGTTCTTCTTGTTACTAAATATGGCTGCTCTTATCTCAGCGTCCGTAAAAGGCTTGTCTAAATCAGGTTGCGGTGATCATTTATACCTTCCTTGGTATGAAGGCGTCGCTCCGTCTTCCCCAAAGCATTTTTTATGCATGGCTTGAATGAGGTCCTCTTTTGTACCTGGGTATAAGTGCAGCAATCGTTCAACGGCTTTACTGTTTTCATTTTTGTCTTCGTGGGGTCT